CTTCATGGATGTCAAGTGCCCTTGGTTGCTCCCAGATCACTACCGTCTTCTCGTAATATCAACAACTGGAATGGTTTCATCCTCTTCTTAATCTTTTTCATATGACCATTCCTTGATGTCATTTCGTTATGTTGTCATTTCGTCATTCCTTGTTTGTCCATGCACACATCATCTCATGTTCAGGCACGCTCAGACTGTCGTCCTTTGCGGTAACTGCAACGTGATGCTCTGCCAGCCCACTGGTGGTCGCGCTCGTCTCACTGAGGGTACTTCTTATCGTAGGAAGGATTAAGTAGTCAAGTTGCAATAACTTCTTATACGCTCATTGGTATATTTACGTGTTGATGATCTCTAGCTACTACCTGTGGAGGAAGGTGTTTGTCTGCTGCCAAGTTTCGGTGACTGCAGTTTGCTTACACTCTGACCGGTAGTCGGCGATCCTGTACACATAACGGCGGCTTCCAGGATTGACTTATTGTTGTTGCGTTAATTGGAATGTGTTTATGATGCTATTGATGGGGTAGCCAAGTGGGAGATCATTCTTTTGAATGAAAGTATCATATGTTTTCTGTTGTGAGGCGGGGATATTTATTTATCGGAGGAGAAAGTCAAGTTGATGGTGCTCTTACGCTTTAAGGCGATAAGTTTTCTGATCAGCCTATGGTTATCATCCACCCTGAAACGACTCTTTTGCACAAGGGAAGAACTGTCGTACTGAACATCAACCGCAATTGAAAGATCGTCAAGTCATTGGATTCGAGTTTGCTATCTCATATCGAGTTATTGATAGTCATTCATCCCAGAACAGTTTATATAATCAACACGACACTACCGAGTGAAATATCTTAAATTTTATGCTGAATATGATTACGGAATTCTTCTAGTCCGAGGACGTCTCTTGTAGACCAATTTGGTAATCTCGTCAACAGTCTTGTCGACACTCCAACCAGTGGAGTCCATAACAACCTATTATCACGAGTCAATTATCTACTATGAATACCAATCTTACCGCTCCATCAGCAACTTTAAGGGGATCCGTCTTCCGATAGAAATCGGCCCGATCCCTGGCTCTAACATCAGCCAAGGTACGGGCGAAATCGCCACCTATATGATATCATACTGTCTTATAGAGAGGACTAATCTGGTGTAACCTATTTGTCTCTGTCGACGCCGAGCTCTCTCCTCAGCAGATGCATCCAAATAGATCTTAACCTCAGCATCAGGGAATACTATCGATCCTAACATACATATCAGTATCACTCTCAGGAACGCGCTCCGACCGCCACTCATAGCACCTGTATCCCTTCCCTCAATAACAACACCCTCCTTGTTATTATAGGCTCTACTCCTCAAGGAGTCTACAACAGCAGCTTTGACTTGCGGAATCTGGGCTATCTTTGCAGTGAGTAATGATATCGGGGGTGTACGAATGGCATCGGTTATATCCCGATTACCTGTAAACTAGATGGGGCTCCTTAACAAACGTACCCCACCTAGTACCAACAAACACTCTCTTATCACGAGTGAAGATGACTTGCTCCAACAAGGCCCGAAACGCTTCATAAGCCAATGATTCAATACCACCCTTGATATCACCTTCGTTCACGAATAGAGCGATGCTGCGATAGAGAGCTCCACTATCAAGCTTAGTGAACCTAACGATGGGAGTCCGCTTCCGCCGGTATAGTAGCCGTGAATTACCCGCTCAGGCTGTCAGCGAGCATCTCGGCAACCACACTCTTTCCACTACCTGCCGGGCCATCTATGGTGATTGTAAAGGCCTTCTTCTTCGGGATGAATCTCTTCCTCAAAGATAGACCAACAAGCACAGCACCAGTCATGAGAGGTGCTAGTAGCAACGATGGACTGATATGCAGAGGGTATATGGGATGATTATTAGATAACGATGCTGCACCTCGTAATGTACCTTTGGACCCACATATTTATAGGATATGTAGGGGGCTCGTCCAACCTGTGCCTTGTAGGGAGGGATGTTCCTTCGTCATTACTACTTCTTGAGATTTGTGTGGTA